GCGTTGGCAGCAATCAGTGCCAACCAAGAGACGGGCGTCCTGCCTCCGGATCGCCTGCAAAGTTTCTAAAGTTGGGGCCGAGGATCTCTCCGCCAAAACACAGATTTCATCCCCCCCGCTGTCTGCCCCCCCGGGCACGCCTGGAGGAAGCCCACCCCCAAGGAAAAGGGGCAAAGTGCAGAGCACGGGAGGGAGGGAAAAGGAGGAAGGAGAAGGCTGTGGGCGGGGAGGGGTCCATGCATTAATTCATACCCCTGGAATATGAAGCACTCCGCCCCCCCACCCCACCCCCACGCCAGCCCATTTATCCTCCCCTAATTGTTTCGTTTTTTATTGCTGGCGTCGCCTGGAAAAAATTCCATTAACTGGTCACTCTGCCCCACCGAACGTTCCTGTATTGATCTGCGGGACTCGCTGATTTCCACTCGGTTCATTAGCATATAAATTAGCCATTTCAGGGAAGATAAAGAGAGCGGGGGGGGGGGAGGCATTAGACATAAATTGATTTGAATTTAGGAGTCCTTTTCCATCATAACATAATAATAATAACAATACTTCTCTGCAAAGGATGTGGCTTCTCTTCCCTAAAAGTCTCCCACTGGGTGATTCCCCAAATCCCCCCCCCAGAGGAGAATTCAGGCTGGGGATGTGGAGAGGCGCAGGACCGACCGACCGGAGTGGGGAAGACCCCGGAAGGGCGCCTTTTAAAAAGAAAAGTGCACCGTAAGGACAGGAGGAAGTTGTGGGTGCCAACTGCGATGGGCAGCCTCCAAAGTCCTTTCCCGTCCTGAGCACTGCACACGCCCGGCCTACGGCATTAATCTGCGCTTCCATCCGCGAACGGTGCCAACGCGGAGTTAGCTCGGGTAAAGCGAGAGCTTCCCACAGGGACTGGGGTGCACTGACCTAGCACGCGAGGAAGAAGAGGGGGCCAATGAAGGCAACGCCCTGCGCGGTCCTGAGTTCAAGAGCCCAGCTTGGGCCGGAGTGGGGCAGGCACAGAGGCTGAAGGCCCTTCCTCTCGTGAAAAGCAGAGCTTTGGACCCAGGTTGTGTGGATCCGTTTATGCCACTGATGGCTTCCTCTCCTGGGTGAAGTTTGAGATCTTCCCCAGCCTACAAGCTGAGAATAGTTTGAAAGAAATTGGGGGGGGGGGGGGTCATTCTTGCACAAGAGCTGCTAGAAGAACCAGCTGTGCCAGGGCAGGAGCAGCCTGGCATTGGCGAGGGAGAAGCCAAGGTGCACCATCCTGGAACCTGGATTTTCCTTTAGCTATCATGGCTAACCACCGCAGGTAAGCCGTAAGTAAGCCAAGTCCCCCCGCCAGTGTCATATTTCACACCCTGCATCCCGAGACCCTTATTCCGGCTTGAGTCCTCCGGCTTTGGGGGCACAGCCGTGGCATTTTCACAGCAAGGGTGTGGAGGTGCCTCCTTCGAGGGCGTCCTTCCAGAGTCTGCAAATCCCACGGACTCCCAACCAGCACGGTTAGGCTCCCTGCTGGGCGGAGCGCCAAAGACGCAGTGCCCCACGAGGGCTAGAAACTTTCCTTTCTTTAAAGTCATTTCCACAGCCGAATACTCAAGATTTCCACATGTTTCAAAGGCTACGCCGGGGGAAGGCCAGACAGCACCTTTACAAGGTTGCGGCTTTTTGAGTTTCTGCAAGGCAGGCCCCATTTTTAATGGCTTCCTAACCCCCTACCCCCGATTTACCCTTTCCCCCCAAAGTGCAGGCAGGCAAGACAACTTTAGGGGGGGTTTCTCCCCACAGCTTCAGGTATGAAGCTCTTTGCCTTCACAAATCGCTTCGTCTTGAGCCCCTAGTTGTAAATCTTCCGGAAAAAGCTCCCGGCGCATCTCATCGTACAAGCCTTCTTTCCACCCAGGCTTGGCCCAGCTGCTGTTGCAATTTAATGACGATTAAACATCAGGGAAATTTATCGTAGCCCCACAATCCGAGCCAGATGATGCTTTTCAGCCTTTGTTTACTTCCATCCCAGATCATGGAGATGCTGAATAAAAGGCTGCTGAACATAAAAGGGCAATTTTTTTTACAGAACCCCCCCCCCCAAAAGCCGTCCTCTTCAGCCACATAGAGCAGGTCGCATAAAGCAAATTAAGACCAATCCGGGAAAGCTTACAATCGGAAAGGCACGATACAAAAGGAAAAAGGGATGGTGAGGGAGGAGGAAAACGTAAGCACCAGTTCCTAAATTACATTGCAAGGGGACATTCTGGCCGAACCAAGTCACTTAACAGCAACCTGTTCATTATCCGTCCCCCTGCACTCCTAGTTTTTCTCAATGGGGTTATTATTTTAAAGTTGAAATAAAGTAACACTTATTGATAATTAAATATGTTACTGTGTTAAAGACATTGTATCGAAAGGCTTTTTGGCTCGCTCGGCTGCTGCTAAGCTAACCGTGACGCACTTCGGTTGAGGAGATCAAATCCGCCAAGCCGCATTGCAAATAAGGCACCATTTTGCAGCAACCGCGCGTCTTGGGAGAAATCTGCCGACCGCA